TTTGAGGCAATGGATGTGTTGGATTAGGGCCATTAGAAAGGAAGTTGGCATGATGAATGGTGGATGTGTGACTAATTTATAGTTTCCTAAGTCTGTAGGCCATATTTGATTGGACATTGATGTTGATATTGAGGTTTTCATTTATCCCACGGATTGTGTCAAAAGATGAATTTTTGGGTTTGTAAAGTCTGAATTTGATTTGGTTGTAATTCCAAGTTTTAGAATCTAAAAGGAGGGTACGAAGAGGTAGGGTCAAGGGACTGAGCAAAAATTAGATACTGACAATGTGTTATTATTTTTAATAGAGTAAGGAAAAATCCCTACATTTCTCAGATACTTTACCTTCCAGACCTAAGCCCAAATTTTATGTTGTTCATTCAAGTAGCTCTAAGCCAGTTTTTTTTAGTAGAACTAAATTAATGTTTTTCAAATTCTTAAAACCCAAACCTCCATTTTGTTTTGATTGAGTTAATTTACTCCGCACGCACCATCTATAAGGGTTAGGGTTGGCTTGTAAATTCGTCCACCATAAACTTCTTATTTTTTTTCTATTTCATAAATTGTTTTCTAGGGGAACTTTATTACATTCATGGAACGAATAGGCAAGGATTGGATGACTGACTAGATTAGGGTTTTCTTTCCTACCTGGCTTAAAGTTGAGGCTTTCCATTTGTTAAGTTTGGCATTGATGTTTTCTAGGATGTAGGTTAAGTCAGTATGTTTGTTCTTAGGCCAACTCATGGGGACTCCAAGATACTTAGATCTAGGATCTAATGGTATCATGTGGAGTTGCCTCTTAATCATCTGTTGATGTCTTTGGTGTATATTTTTGCTAAAAAAGATGCCAGATTTCTCAAAGTTGATGCACTAGCCAGGCATGGATTGGAATTGATCAAGAACTTCCTTCAAATTCTCAATTTTCATCCCTATGAGCCCTCATGAAAAGCATAATGTCTTCGACAAAAAAGAAATGTGAGAAATGCTAGGAGCTCCTTTTGACATTTGGGTTCCTTGGAACATTTTTTTCAGATTTTTCCATGGCTAGACGAGTTAATTGAGTGCTCATTAATAGTTTTTATATAGTCTTTCATGGGTGGGAATTCTACTCCAAGTATCTGATATGGGATTGAGTCAAAGTGATTGGCAAGTTCTGCTCCTAGCATCTTACCAACACAATGCAACTCCTCCTTAGTCCTTACACTAACGAAGTAAATGCCATCTAATCCATTCATTTCTGTAACCAGGGAGATATGCATTGGGCCAAACCATACGGGACCCCAAGTCAGCCCAAAGTCAGACTTTGTGATGCATCTGAGCCTAGGACAATGGGACCATCTTAATCCAATACTCCTTTTCCAGTTGGAGCTAGTTCTTTTGGCCTCAATTAGGTTTGTTGCCTTGTACCAACCCAATGGCTTTTAAAAAAAATGTTAAGGAATTTGTATTTTGCTATTTTTTAAAAGCCCAAAATTTGTATTTTTGTTCTTTTTTTTTTGGTAGAAAAGAGTGATAGATCCTTGTCAACATAATTTTAAATCCAACTAGGACACAAAAAAATATAAAAGCCCAACCCTTCAAGCCCTTTTTTTTCCAACTCATGAGCTACCCTATTTGCAGTCCTATTTACAAACTTAAAAGTCACTTGAGAAGAGTGAATTTTCTGTAAAATATCCTGACACAGGAACACAACATCTCTAGCTCTTTCAACATTTCCAGAGAACCACTGTGACCATCGGTTTTCAAGTCAATACTTTGACCATCCGAGTCGAACAATTTAAGTGGTTTGAGGTATTTAACACTTGGATTGAAATATTAGTGTTTGAAGGATATGAGAAAAGAGAGAGGTGAGTAGTTGTTGGCTTAGAAAAAAAGAAAGAAAGGAAAGAAAGGAAAAAAGAAAAAAGGAAAGAAATAAAAGAAAGGAAAGAAAGAAAGAAAAGAAAGAAAAAAAGAAAAAAAGGAGAGAAATAAAATAAAGGAAAGAAAGAAAAAAAAGGAAGGAAGGAAGGAAAGAAGGAGGAGGAGGAGACTATATTCACTAGTGATGATAACAGTGGTGGCAGCGACAACAACAAAAATTGCATCTGTTCAATGAGCTGAGCCAGGTACTGGTTAGGCTTTGCCTCTATATTAATAGAATATGCTTAGGCTCAAGCTCAAGCCTGGCCCGACCATCGGGCCTAGGTCTTGAGTCCGAGCCCGAGCCTCATATAAAGCCCAAAGCCTAGACCCAACTAGAATTTTGGAAAATAGACTTTTCCTTTTTTATTCAATTAAAAACTATTTTATTTATATTAAAAGACCTCAAAACCTAAAAAAATAATGAAAGATCTCACTATTACTTAAAAAAAGAGAAGAAAAATAAAGAAAAAATATTATATATTATTATATAAAATATATTTTTATTATATAATACATTATCAAGTCAGGCTGGGGCTTAGGCCGAGCTTTTTTGAGAAAGCCTGAGCTCCTCCCGAAAAAGGTCGGGCCTGATATTTTAGGCTTGAGCTCAAGCTCGGGTCCTGAAATTCTATCCAAGCCCAACTTAGATTGGGTTGGGCTACCCGACCCATGAACATGTCTAATTGTGATGTTTCTGTCCAACCCTTTCAGATCTCTCTCATTCTTTGATTTGAGATTTTAGATATGAGATCTTACTTCTTTCTTTCTCTCCAATCTCTCTCTCTCTCTCTCTTCTTTTTTCTCTTAATCCTTATTTTTAAAAAATTATTAAACCATGAACCATTGCTCGGGTTGAATGGTATAGTTGTTCGATCGCCCTGGTTAGTGGTTCTTTGTTGTTTTTTTTGCAAAAAAATAAAAAATAAAAAATAAAAAAGGTTCAAGGACAAAATGGAACCAATGACCTATTTGGTTTATGGGCCAAAAGATTCGACTGCCCAATTCGGTCCGGTTTTCAAAACACTAGCTCTTACAATTAACATCTCTCTGTCTCTCTCTTTGACAAGGAATTGTAACACATAGAGATGGTCTTTGCACCTAGTCTCTTGTTAGATTAGGATTAATAAATCTCCTTAGGAGTCTTTTTTGAAAAAAAAGGAGTAAAGGTGATGATAAGATTGGCAGAAACAAGAAGTTTTTCTTAGGGGGACCAATTTATATGTGTAATTGTACCCAATGCATGTTAGGTGTGAACATACACCAAAAAATTAAAATTGGGTATTGGGTTTACCCAAATGCTCATTTGGGTAGTTTGAAATTGGGTTCATCATGACCTGGTTTCATCATTTTCACCCATTAAAAAAACAAGTAGTTCAAAAGATGTAGGCCCAAAATGGTGGGCCAACATGGGTCAAGTGACCTATTAGACTTCTTTCTTTCCTTCTTTCCTCCTCTTCTTTTGTGTTTTTTTTTTGAATTTTCCTACAAGTTTTGTTCTTTTACATGATATATATTTGAAAAAATTGAATATTTTATATTTTTAATTGAAATATATAATTCTATGTTTTCATGCAATTAGAATAAAGTAAAAAAGTTTATTTTGAATCGGAGGGTCAAATGGGTTAAATGGGTGGATTAGGGTCAGAGTGGSTTGTGGGTTAATATGAGTGTATTGGTACTTAATCCACACCCAACCCACCTATTTGCCTTTTTCTCTTTTTTTTTTTGGTGCGAAACCTACCCATTTGCCACCCCTACAGCCTTGGCTCACCATCCCTCATAGTTCCGAATCTTTCCTCAACTGTTATTTACTTATTTCTACTCAATGAAGTGGTAAAACCGTAAAAGTGGTTTGTTTGTCCCAGGGAGAAGACTATTTCTCCTCAATCAATTGATTGGATTTGTGTCGTTAGCAATCTTTCCAACCTTTATTCTTTGTGCCAACCTTAAGTCCTCACAAAATTGCTATATCTCTGTGACGTCTTGGTGTTGGTGGGGGGCTAATATGGAGTCTGGATCTGTTCCTGATAGTGTGCGCGTCATACCGACCTTATAGCATGTCTTGGCTGCTAGACCTGTTTATGGGTCGGGTAGTTTGACGGCCCGGTCCAGCCACGGTCGGGCTTGGCCCTATTATCTAAGCCTGACTTGATTTCGAGCTGGGTTCAGGATTTCACAAAAAAGCACAGYCCGAGCCTGGTTGGCCTGACAATATATATATATATATATAATATTTCTAAACCAGCCCAAATGTTCATTCAAACTCATCCCTGTTTTTACAATCTACACTCAAGCAGCGATCCGGTGACCAGCGAGGCGATGGCAACTCTCCGAGCTCTGTCCTCAACTATCTCTCAGTAGCGTGACAACATCCCCAATTCTCCGAGCTATGCTCCAGTAGCGGCAAGCCAGCAACCAGTCCCCATTTCTTCGAGCTTTGCTCTTCTCCAAACACTCCCAAGTTCTAACATCAGGTCGACAACATCTACAGTGCAATGGTGAACTCAGATCTGAAGCGTTGGTAGTTTAGAAAATTGTCATCCCTGCGGTGAACTCAGATCGATGACATCTACTCTCTCTCTCTCCTTAGTTCACCAACCCTGTGGTGAACTTAGATTTGAAGCGTTGGCAGTTTAGAAAACCGTTGCCCATTGCTCTCTCTCTCTCACTCTCTCCCTAATTCGCCAACCCTGTGGTAAACTAAAATCTGCAATTGCAGTGTTGGGCTTCGGGCTTGGGCCTCGAGCTTTTACGAGAGGCAGGCTCGGGTTTAAGATATAGGTGCAATGATCCGACCGGTCTCGGGCGTCAATATATTGCATTGATAACCAATAAAAGCCCGGTCCGGCCTATAAACAAGTTTATTGGCCGCACATCTGAAACATCTCCCGTACTTATATTATTATTTGTGAGGAGATGTTCCGAATTCAGAGTGGAATGTAGATGTGAGATCGGTGTGAGGCGTGCTCTGAGGAACAGATCCCAATTCGCTAATCCGATCTCGGCTAAAGAAAGACCATGATTATCAGTTTTGGCCCCGGGCTACGACAAATGTCGCAGCAGTTAGCCAAAGTGAACTCTGACAAAATTGGCACACGACTCGCAGTACTCGAGTTTCTTAGCAGACTCCTAGGTCGCCCTCACATTAATGCCAAACGAAGATTTTCTGAAGAGGAAAGAGAATCGTGACTCGTGAGTACAGAAGTACCGGATCGTCTTATTTCCACGTGGCAAGCATCCAACCACTAAGTACGGCATCCTATGTCATCTCCCCGACCGTTCGACCAGCCAAAACCCCCCCTCTCTCTCTCTCTGAGACTCTTTTCCCTGGTGTGTCAACGGAAAGATACAAGTCATATAACGTGGAAAAGGGAAAAAAATAAATTAAAAAAGGAAAGAAAGTAATTAAGGATTCTCGAGGAGTTCGCGGCAGAAGCTAAAAGAGAAAATAAATCAAAAAAGAAAAGGAAAACTTGGGGGTAGTTCTCCTTCTCCGACTTTTTGTTCCGGCTTCTTGAAGGCGGTTGTCAGGACATTGGGAGGATGGGAAACGACCGAAAAAGCTATTCTACTAATAAGGATGATTACAGGCTCCTCGAACAGGTTGGCAATGGCGCCAGTGCTGTTGTTTATAGGGCTATCTATCTTCCTCGTAATGAAGTTGTCTCTGTTAAGTGTTTGGATCTAGATGGATACAGTATCAATCTGGTTAGTATCCTCACTTCCTTTTACTCACTTTTCTAGTATATATACTTACTTGATTAATAGTATCTTTGTTCAATTTTTGGACTTCTTATATGAAAGGTTCGATTCTGATGCATGGTTTGGGATTGGATTTGATTGTCTTGAGTTTCGTATGGGTGCGTCATTAATCTGGAATGTGTTCTTTTATTTGAAGTAATGAGATTTGAGATGGCAAGTCTAAGGCTTGATTCTGGAAGCGGATGTTATAGTGGGGGGGGGGGGGAGGGGGTTAAATTGATCAATTTTGATTCAGACAAGGATTGTGGACGAGATCTAATATAGCCATTTTATAGGTTATCCAAGATATCCACTGTATCTAATCACTTAGACTTCTCTTTGCATATGTTCTATTATTTAGGCCTTTTCAGATTATCTGGCATAGTCATTATGTTTCCTTGTGTTTTATAAAGTGCATGAATCCCATCATTTCCACTTATGGTGAATTTCTGTCAATTATAATTCTGTTATCAGTTAGCTGCATTCTCAATACTGACAATTAAAAAAATTTAATGCTTAACACTTGTCAAAAGTCTTGCATCATTTAGATATGGTTTCTTTGCTTATTAAGTAGAGTGTCATCTATGTTCTAACTGAGTATAAGATCAACTTTTGCCCTTGTATTTTCCGTGCATGGGAACTGTTTCATGTTATCCAACTTGCCGAAAGATCAAAAGTGGGAGAGGTTCCAAGATTTACTTTTTCCTGCAAGATACTTGTCTTTGAGCATTCCTTCATTCAATTTCAAGGGTTCCTTATTGCAAGACTGGGTGTTCTAAGTGCAAGGGTATTTTGGTAAACCACACAATTTGGGAAGCCAAAATCTTTGGAGTTCTTTTTGTTGTTTTTCATCAGGGAATCGTTGGTGTTTGTAGTGAGGATATTGTGTTGCATGCAATTGCCTAAGATTGTGGGTGGCAGTTATGCGTAGTTATGGAAATAAAAATTGTTGGAGGATAAGAGAAGAAAAGAAAAGAGAAAGGGGTGAGGGAGAATGGGGTTGTCAGAGTTCGTCACTGATCTCAAGCCCCTCTTTCATTAACTTTTATATTAAGTGATAAAATAAAAAAGGTGCCCTTAATTAGTAGGGATGACCATGGGCCAAGTTTATGTATGTATGTACATACAAGTTTATGATACACACATATATCTACACACACACACATAAGCATACATACCCCTTCCACACTCGTACCCTAATCCCGAATTTTGTCTGGTTAGAACTGGTTATTTTGGAGTCACTTGGGGAATTTTGAGACCAAAAAACATACATACCCCTTCCACACTCATACCCTAATCCCCATGCTGGGTCAGCTCCACCAATTGACAATTCCACTAGGGACATTTAGATATTGCTCATAGAAAATATCTTAAGGGGGCATTAAGGGATCAATTGTACTGGGGTCAAGTACCTCAAGGAGAGCTGTAACTGATATTTGAGAGGTGATTAGCTGAGGCTAGCCACCTCCTGGGGGAGCAACATTATAAAATTATCGTACTATGATATCTTTTTTAAGCAATAAAATGAATTGACAGTTATCCATCAAAAGACAGATAAGTATGTCAAAAGTCAGAATTGAAAATTTGAGTAAAACAGGTGGTTATGTTCATGCTCAATGATGACTCTTTTGTCTTTGCGTGTTGTAGGATAATATACGTAAGGAGGCCCAAACAATGAGTTTAATAGATCATCCAAATATAACAAGGGCATATTGTTCATTTGTTGTTGATCGGAATCTCTGGGTGGTCATGCCATTCATGGCTGAAGGTTCTTGCTTGCACCTTATGAAGATAGCATATCCAGATGGATTTGAAGAGTCTGTAATTGGTTCTATTCTTAAAGAAACTCTGAAGGCTTTGGAGTACCTCCATCGACATGGACATATTCATCGTGATGTCAAGGTGAGGTCAAACTTCAAGTTACATACCATCTTCAATAGCTGAATATTTTTCTGGACAATGTATTTTATAAAGATTGAAGACTAGTTGGTTTAGTAACATTTATCTTTCCAGGCTGGAAATATCCTTCTTGATAGTAATGGGGTGGTGAAGCTTGGTGATTTTGGTGTTTCAGCATGCATGTTTGACAACGGTGATAGGCAACGCTCAAGAAATACTTTTATAGGAACTCCTTGCTGGTGAGTTATCACCTTTTACTTAACAATAATCTGTTTTCAAATAATTTCTTCTCATTTTCTCTACACAATTCTTATTCTTTCTAGTCTAATTTATGATGGGTCATGATAGCAGGAAAACAAAGGTGCAGTGGCATGTTTACACTTCATTTATACTAGGAACAAAAATGAACTTCAAAATGGTTTCCATGGTGTTTATTTTTCTGGTTTGACAATTGTAAAATAGCCGAGCAGAAAATTACATACTGAACCACAATTTACTAAAGAATTAAATTCAGATCATGTTTTCCATCTTAACCAACAGTCAATTAAGTCACTCTTCATTTGTTAAAAGGTAGATTATAATATAGAAACAAGAACTGTAGTAAAATTATGATTTAGGAGGAATATGAAGGTAGCAAAAGCAGTGGTATTGGATCTGTTGTTAATAACTGACCCATTTATTATCCCAAATCTCTTTTTATAGATTTCACTGAATAGGTTAGCTTCATGCTTGATAATCTTGAATAGATGCAACAAAGTTAAAAGCATAAAAAAGGGGAATTTGGATTTAGCATTACCAAATTCATCATTTGTTTTTTTATGAATAACAATGACAAATTTATTGATGGATTGAATGTGAAACCCCTGTCCACCAGGGGACACTAATGGTAGGAAGCTATATCATTAGAAATGAACAATACAGAAAATCAAATCTGCTGCCTCACCCCAGGCCCTTGTGACATCCCATACAAGTTAAGGCCTTTGTATTGGTCAGAAGAAGATGAATTTTCATATTTTACACAAAAGAGGGACAATATGAAATTTTAATTATGTTTAGGCTGTTTGATTGGTGGTTGGTTTGGGAATCTGGGTCCGTCTGGAATTGGAGGGGTTTTAATAAATGAAAGCGGAGTGATCATGGGCATGTACTCAGGCCCCATTGGATTGTGTGATTCTGTAACAGCAGAACTGAATGCAGTGATTTACGGGATGCAGAAAACTGTGGAGATGGGGGTAAGAAAGCTAATAGTTGAAGGTGACTCCAAAATAGTAATAAGTTGGCTAAAACAGAATGAGAAGGCTCCTTGGTATTTTAGAAACAAAATCCAACAATTCAAGAGGTTCTCAAGGGATATGCAGCTGATAATTCAATGGACTCCTAGGTCGGCAAATGGTCTAGCTGATCAACTAGACTGAATAGGTCGGCAAAGCAAGGGGTGAACAGGGCAGTGTGTTTCTGGGCTCAGTTGTAAGACTGAATATTAAATTGTCTTTGTATTTTCTTGGTGGTAGCTGAGGCTGCCTTTGATTTGTACATTTCTCTTTATCTAAGTAATAAAATTTGATGTTGATGCTGATAAAAAAAAGATTGGTGGTTGGTTTTGTGTCCCATTTGTTTTTGGAACACAAAACAGAACATGAAACCATGACTTGGTCTTTGACATGGGTTTATGGTTTTAAAACCAAATATTATGGTTCCAGGACCCAGAAATAGAGGGATTATTATTTACCTGGTTTTGTTTCAATTGATCTTTTATTGTGCAGGATGGCTCCAGAGGTGTTGCAGCCAGGATGTGGATATGATTTCAAGTGAGTATCATATCATCTACAGAACAAATAGCATGTCTATAGAATTTAGAGTTGTGATTTAGATGCCTAGTGCCTGTAGAAAGCCCTAGCTAATCAAGCCAAATTTTTTATCTGACAACAATTTAGAAATAATTATCATTGTGAAACATTACATTCTTGATATAGTTTTTGATATTTCCAAAATCATAATGTGTGCCAAAATGTGCTTATTGTTTTTATACTACCAAAATTTTGCTTGTGTTTCCACCAAGCAAAAATCTTTACTTTTGAAGGTTTATTTTCTATTCTTCTAGAAATAATTATTATTGTATAAGCATTCTACAGAGCTGACATCTGGTCATTTGGGATTACGGCTCTGGAATTGGCTCATGGCCATGCTCCTTTTTCAAAATTCCCTCCATTGAAGGTAGAAACAGTCATTATTCAGATTTTGAATTACATATTACAATATTGTACTTGGGAAGCTTTCACATAAAGTACTTAAACATCTGACTAATTTTTCCTATTCTTTTGCCAAGGTTCTCCTCATGACCATCCAGAATGCCCCTCCTGGACTTGATTATGACCGAGATAAAAGGTTCTCAAAGGTATCAGTAGCCTTTTTGGCTGTTTAGGATTGATTGTCAAATGTATCCTTCACTTGCAAGTTTTTCATCTGTCCAATACTTGCCTCATCCATATGCATGGTAATGATGAGAATATAGGTCATGAAACTTAGTCTATTGTATGCTGTATAAGTTGGTTTACTTCGAGCATATGTTGTGCATGCACAGAATTCATTAATTAATTAAAAACAGAGAAAATTTCAATCATCACTTACCAAACAGAGGTGCGAAATGCAGCCTTAAATGCTTAATACATATTACAATTGTGCCCAGTACAAATTGTCTCTATTCACCCCTTGTTTAGCTAAAGAATCTTCCATCCCATTTGCTGATCTCCTTTCCCATTAAATCCTTGTATCCTTATTTGTTGTCAGCCACTTGAACCTTTGATAGCATCCCCATAAGTTCATATTACAGTGTTAGGCTCCTTCAACCACCCAACTACCAATGGCCATCATAGCTGATTGAGCCCACTCCAGATAGTTTGTTCCATCAAACTTAATGGTCATAATCTGGAAAGGGTTGCTGTCTGTCACGCTACCAGCCCCTACAAGTCCTTCCCTAATGGATTTGAACTCATTTCCAACATTCTTCATGCTGAACTAAGCATTTAAGCAAGGTATCACAGCCCGACTTCTTTCTGATAGAAAAGGATTTTCAAAAAAATATACAGCAGCCAAGCCGTACACAATTTACTGTCACTCAAAACTGGCTATTCCAACAAGGAAAAACCCTAGAGATAATTTGGAGAACACAAGAAAACTCCAACCACTACTTCCAGAAGCTTCTGTTGGTCCTCCTCTTGCTGTCGATCTCTAAAACAAACAGAAAGCCACCCAGAAAACATTTAGTGCCACCTTCAAACTGAGGTTTAACCACTAAACCCCAACTGAACAAGTATCTCTGATCCTTCCTGGTCATTGGGCAAAAACAGAATTCAGAAAACTGCTTGAACAGTGCACTGATCTCCACTGACCTCCAAGAATCAAGCGAAAAAGGTCTGAAACTCAAGCCCTAATAGAGTCTCATGTAGCCAGCTGGGTTAAGCATACATACCTAAACCTAAACCTGCTCTAATACCAACTTGAAAAGGTTGCTATAGCAGTCTTATGTTTAGTACAAAACCTATTCAGAAAAATAGAAAAGAAAGAGAAGGAGAAGAGAAGAAAAAAATGAAAGGAAGAGAGAGCAGAATAATTAGGTTCTGCTGCCCCCCATTGCTATTTATATATGATTCAATAAAAGAAGGTACAATGACAAAAATACCCCTGTTGACTATGACAGTTAAAAACCAAAACAGCAGCCTGAAACAATAAAAAGAAAGATGGGTTTCATATAACTGCATATAAAAAGCATACAAAGTACCAACTAAGGGTTCTTTGCTACATCTCTACATATCCCAACAGAATATTCTAGCATCTCTCCTCGCACACCATCCAAAGCAAAGCTTCCCTGATACACCTCCATATGACTTGTGCTTTCATTTGAGAACTGAATAATATTCTAATTAGAAGATTTCCTGTTGTGATCAGTCTTTCAAAGAAATGGTTGCCATGTGCTTGGTGAAAGATCAAAGAAAGAGACCTACAGCAGAGAAATTACTAAAACATTCTTTTTTCAAGCATGCAAAGCCTCCAGAACTTTCTGTGAAGATTGTATTGACTAACTTGCCTCCGCTTTGGGACCGTGTAAAAGCTCTTCAGGTTGGCCACCTAACCAGTGTGCTGCAATGGTCTTTCTTCTTGTATGGTTGGAGTTTTGGTATAATGACCTCGTGTTCTTGCAGCTTAAGGATGCAGCACAACTAGTTCTCAAAAGGATGCCTTCAGCAGAACAAGAAGCATTATCACAGGTTAGAAATACTTGGTCATAGTTATGGAAATGATTCTTTTGACATTTTGCTTTCTCTTATGTGTCAAACGATGTAAAATAGAAACTGAGCCTAACTTGTGTTTCCATTTGTATTAAATGGGAAACTTTGCTTTATTGGCATAAAAAAATAACTAATTGGGAGAAATTAGTTGTATTCTTTTATGATTATACATTCATGGTTCAATATCTTAGCAGTTTCTCCAAAATATCCCCAATATAGCCTACCTTCAAGGGTAATAGGTTTATGAACATTCAAGAAATCTCTATTTTTTATCATTAGCAATGATCAAGAAGATATTATTTATGAAATAAGAGATAGGTCTTATCCAACCAGTGGAGAAGGGTGACATACAACCTCTATAATACAAAAAGATTCCAGTCCTGGAATTCATCCTGATAATTCAGATTTATCATTTTTTGGCAATGCATCTCCAAAATTTCCTTGCTTTTGGYTACATATCACAACTTCCTTATTATCTTCCACCTTTGGTTTCCAATTGTTGACATCTCCATATATTGCAGATATGTGGGGAAGTTCCAGTGGAAAATTTACTGGCAGAGTACCTTCAATAGTGGGGCAGTTTTTGGCCTTCCCTTGTCCTTTTAGAATCTTTGACTTGTACCAAGTTACTCATTCTCTCGTTCTTCAGAAAACCATCTTAATCAACTCTGTGATAGTGTCACTCATTCTCTTGTTCTCTTGAATATACTCAATTTTAATTTTGTCATTCCTTTTTATATTTCCTAGTTTCATTATTTGACTCTGTTACATTTATGGGTGCTTCATCTTACAACCTTTTCTTGGGTGGTGTTCCATATGTTTTTTCTGTCAGAATGAGTACAAACGAGGTGTTAGTGCATGGAACTTTGATGTTGAGGATTTGAAGGCCCAAGCAGAACTGGTGTGTCATATTTTTGTCAAATGTAAAACTGTGAATAGGCATTGTTTTAATTAGAAAAATCTGGACTAGATTTCTCCTATCATTCTGGTAGGTTCAGGATGATGATGATATTCCAGGAATGAAGGAAGATGATGAAAGCATGAGGTTGTTTGTTGATGATAAGGTATCTTTGCTTCCTTACATTTTGAAACTATACTTGGAACTTCTACAATGAGCATTGGTTTTGTGATGGCTGTAATAGTTAGTTTTTATATCAAATAAGGTTATACTAAACTTGGTTATTATTGGCAGGATGCCTCTGCTTCTAGATGTTTGGGGAAACCAATTTCTACAAATGAGATTTATTGCAGGTATTCCTTTTCTAACCTAAATTTGTTTGTCCTAAATAACTATAATTCAGTTTTATGACAAATAAACCAATAACATTCCAACATACTTTTATTGCAGAGGAAGTACAACTAATGCTGAATTATCACAACCTCAATGCTTGAACACAAAAAGAGAAATTTCAGAAAGTAATTTGCTTGGATCTGATCATCCAACTAAAAAAGTGAATGAAATAGAGGAATTAAGAAGTGAATCAATAAAGTCAGTCCCTCAAAAGGACCTGCTGCATTCCCATTCTAAAAGTCAGACAGGCAAAAGTCGCCAAACACAGAGTGGACCACTAATGCCTGCTGTAGTGCTTAACCATTCTCCATCAGAATGGGGGTGTACCTCTGAAAGGTTTGTTGTGGATGCTGTTAATACGTCTTTCCTCTTTCTCCATGTTACAACTGTTTGAAGCATTGATATTGCAGAAAATCAAAAGAAAATAGAATTTTATGATTTTTTTTGAATTGCAAATTCCAATTTAACTTCATAATTGATCCTGGATTGATACAGAAGTTAAAAGAAGTTAAATCAGATATTAATTTTAAGGGTTAAAGACTTAAGCATGTCCTGAGGTTTCAGAAATTGACTTAAACATACCCTGAGGTTTTAAAATGGATTTAAACATACCTTGTGACTCTTTTACCCTTTATTTTCTTTCAAATTTTCAAAAAGAACCAAAGAGAAGACAATGCAAATAAATTAGGCCTTGGGTGCATTTGAGAACTGTTATGGAGTCACTTGGGCATGGTATATTAGCATCAAGTGCAAAACTTGACTCTCATTAACATATGGAAGTCCAAAACCAAACTATAGAAGATCGATCCAGATTGGCAAATAAATTATGGTGCTTGTTGAGTTAACCCTTCACAGAATTGAGAAAAGTAAATAAAGGGGGGATCTGAAATTTTGTGGGCAAAATCTTTTAGATTTGAACTTCAATGTAATGTATTTTCAGGAGCATGGATTGATGCCAGCTCAATGCAATGAGTTAAATTTGCTCTGCGTCCATCTGAATTCTCATTTAGCAATTGATGTAAATTTAGATTCGTCTTCTCATGATCATTTACTGGGAGAAGAATCTTAGAACCAGACTAAATGAAGAGAATATAAATGCCAACAGTAAGAGAATACAAAGCAGGGGGGGAACCCCTACAAGTTACCAAGGAGGAAGCTTGTTGCTATACAGATGCTCCAAATACACACCAAATTTAGCTAGGCCATCTGCAGTATGATTGTGTTCCCTAGGAATCCAAACTAAGTTAACATTCAAACCATCCAAAGAATCCCAAGCTTCAGTCAGATAGTGATACAGTCTTCAAGGGCCCCCTTTTTTGTCTCTTAACCATTTTATCGTATTTGCTGAATCACCTGCAATGATCAAATTCTGAATTCCCAAATTCTTTATTATCCTGATTCCGGTGAGAGCAGCCATCACTTCAGCCTATGTGGAGTCGGCCCAACCGATTGGACCACTAAAAGTCCAGCATATATTGCCCCTTTTGTCCCTTACTGTACCACCAATACCTGCAAGGCCTGGATTRCCTAAGGCACAACCGTCAAAATTAAGGGTTATCACACCTTCACTGATGGATACGGGATGCCTCAAGGGAGTTTGCTGGGGATGAGGCAGAAACAGAAAGGGGTGAATATCTCTGATTATATCATTGAGACATTTACTGAAAGTCCTTTATACAGAGCTGAATTCACCGACCAAAGGATGCAAAGATAGGTAATATCTGAGATTAACTCCTCCAAGGTTCTGCTTTTATTGTCAAAGATACGGATGTTTCTTTCTTCCCAAACGCTCCACATTGAATGAGGCACTGATTGCCAAAAGACTTTACTCCTTTTGCTAAGCCCTGTTCCTTGTCATTGATTCAAGTTGTCCATAATGTGTTTTGGAAAAGCCCAGCTGTACACTGCCATATTCAAGAAGTGGGACCATATCCTTTGAGTAAAGCTGCAATGAAGAAGAATGTGATCTGCAGATTCATCCTTGCTGAGACATAAAATACAAACATAAGGAGAAATGGAGCATCTTCCCAAAAGTTTTTTCTGTAGGAGATCACAAGTATTAACTTTCTTGAGACAGGCTACCCATACAAAGAAGCAAATTCTTGAGGGGATGTGGCTCCACCAAATTTTCTTGTAAGGAAAAGAGGGATGCTAATCTTTAGCAGTCAAAGCCCTGAACATAGACTTAGAAGAGAATTTGCCATTTGGGTGAAGGGTCCATATTCGGATGTCAGAATGAGAGGGGGATATATAGGCATCTTTGAGGGTTTGGATTAAGGCTATTAAATTAGAAATCTCCGAGTCCCTTGGGGGTCTTCTGAGGTGGAGGTTTAAAGAATTTTCGGCAGACTGGTTTGGGAGGCAAGCAGAAATAGAGGCTTCTTGGTGAGGTTAAACAGCCTAGGGAAAGAGGCTTCTAGGGTAGATTCCCCCCACCAAAGATCTTTCTAGAATTTAATTATAGAACCATTTCCCACCTTATACCTTATAAAAGGAAAGAAAGAAGTATGAATGAAACATATACCTTTCCAAGGATTGGTGGCCTTTATCCTGTTCAAATGGAGATTGCAATCCCACCCGTTTGTATTTCGTCCATATTTACTTGAGATGGCAGCAGTCCAAAGAGCATTAGGTTCTTTCGGAAATCTACAGAGCCATTTGCCTAGGAGAGAAGAAATTTTCTCTTTAAGCTATCCAATACCCAAACTGCCTTCCTCTTTTGGTCTGTATACTTGTTTCCAGCTGACTAAATGGTTTCTCTTTTCTCCACCACCTTCCCAAAGAAAATTCCTTTGAAGCTTCTCAATCTGATTTCTGACTTTGGTCGGAATCTGGAAGACAGAGAAAAAGTAGACCGGCAGATTTGATAAGGAGGCCTTTAAGAGAGTAAGCCTACCCCCTTTGGAGAGATAACACTTTCCAAGTCGATAGTTTCTTCTCGCATTTCTCCATCATAGGACTACAAAAGTTGAGGGATTTTAGATTCCCTCCAAGAGGCATCCTAAGGGAGGTAATGGGGAGATTCTCCACTTTGCACCCCAATAAAGATTTGAAATTTTCTAGATGTTCCTCTTCCACTGAGTTGATAGCCACAATACTATTGCAGAAATTAACTCTCAGACCAGTGAGAATCTCGAAATATTTGATTACAATTTTAGTGTTTGTGATGTTGGTTATGGAGGCATCCAAGAATAGGATTATGTTGTCGGCGAACTGTAAGTGAGAGATGTGAAGTTTATTCCTACCCACTTCAAAACCTTTCACCAAGTTGAGAAGAATTGACTTGTCAAAGAGATAATTAAATATATCCATCAACAAAGTGAAAAGTAATGGGGAAAGAGGGCAACCTTGTCTCAGACCCCTGCTAGCCTTGAAATAACCTTTCGTTTCACCATTTATCAATATTGAAAACCAAGGAGAGCCAATACAATCTTTAATCCACCTGATCCAGTTTCTCCCATAACCTCTTAGCCTTAAGCAATGAAGAATGCAGTCCCAATCCACTTTGTCGTATGCCTTCTCAAGATCAAATTTCACAAGGACCCCCCGGGATCCCAGAGGATTTTCTGTCATCCACACACTCATTTGCAATAAGAATGCTGTCCACAATTTGTCTTCCTTTTACAAAAGCAAACTGATTTGGGAAAATTAGATCTTCAAGGACTTCTTTAAGTCTGTTGGCTAGAACCTTCGCCAAAATTTTGTATATGCTCCCAACCAAACTTATAGGTCTAAAGTCTTTAACTTCCAAAACTCCCTCTTTCTTAGGGATGAGGCAGAGAAAGGTAGAGTTAAGGCCCTTGTTAACAATGGTAGATGAATGGAAGTCTCTGAAAAACTCTATGAGATCCGACTTTACAATTTCCCAACACTTTTGGAAGAAAAGAATAGGGAAGCCATCCAGCCCTGGAGCCCTATCTCCGTCCAATTAGCCTTCTTTCAAAGACATGGTCAGTCCTGAGTCTCCTGACCCGTTTAACTGGTTTTAAATGGGCCTTAAGTTAGTGGATTTCAAGGCTGTTGACAGATGTTGTACACAAATGTATAGTACCGCAAGGGTACTTTTGTAATTTCTTCATTTTTTATGTTGTACGACCATCCTAGTATAAATAATAACATACTACACACGCATGCAGCATTCTTTTGGGCTCTCAGTCCTCTCGCCTCTCTTCTCTTTCTCTTCTCTTGTTCAACATGGTATCAGAGCAAGTCGTTCAGGCTTGAAGGGTGATGTCGAGCAAATCTGATTTGTTCATCTTCCAAAGTCGAGCAGTCAGTCTCTTTATCTCCCAGCTGTATCCATCTGCTGTTCGACCTTAAGCGAGTAGAAGCCTGCCTGACTTTTCATCTTCTGGCGTAGAAAAAAGTTTTGGTTTATAGAGAGTTTTCTATTTGATGTTCAAAGAAGTCTGCCTGACTTTTCATCTTCCAGCGTAGAGAAAGTTCTGGTTTATAGAGAGGCTATCATCTGATGTTCAAGAAGGTATTATCTACTGTTCATCTGTGGTTCGGGTGCCCTGGTTATCGACTGAAGTTTTTTTTTTTATTTTTTTGTTACTTTGCACCCATTGATGGACTATTGATGCCCTAGTATTCGACTGAAGTGTTCCTTTTTGTGTTACTACTGTTCGGCTACCCTGTTGATGGACTGAAGTAGCTCTTTCTTTTACTTTGCTCTCATTGGCTGTTTAGCTGCCCTGAAGTTGGCACTATTCCAGGTGAAAGGAATGGTGGGATCCATCGTATGGACGCCAAAACTGTTGCGGAATGGGAGGGCGAATTTCAAAAAATTTCCTACCTTCTTTTCAATTGGGAATCACATTCCCTGATTTTAGAATCAAAATTCAAGGATCCTACTTGAACCAAACCAAACCAGATTTGAACCGAAAGACAAGTGAGGGATTATACCTGATCCAGAGAAGTAATATCTCCCAAAGTTGGTGTTCACGCCCAAAGAAGACACCAAGATCTGCTCCTGCTGAAGATGACACAGCAATTGTGGAACAGAACTAACAGAGTGCGTCCTACGCACTGAATCCTTCACAAGAATCCTCGGGAAACAATGAACACCGAACTGAATCAGCCTTTCAGCAAAGACTGATATCAAGAACTCTTTCTTGATCTTTCCCTCTCAGAGAAATCGAACTGGTGGTGGTAGGCGACGACTGATGGAGGAGAAAACTAGAGAAGAAAGTGGCGAACTGCTTTTCTCCTCTAGGGTTTCTGAGATCTAATCTTCAGAATGCAGGTGTGTTTTCTGCAAAATCCCTTGGGTTTGAATTCTTGTAATTCGAATTAGGGTTTTTTCTCCTCTAACTTAATGATTAAGAAAACCT